ACATTTCATCACTTAAAAGGGAAAAAAGAGGAACAAGCAGACCTGGTGATTTTACAATAAAGTTTAATCCATCTCTGAAACTTGACCCTGATAAGAAACACCAACTTGCTCTTGATCGGTTGTCCATGACTTACTCTTGGTACAACATTAGTAGCGATTATGGCAACAATAAAATCAAATATACCCACGATGGTTCCACCCGGCAAACAATTACTTTTGTAGATGGAGCGTATTCCTATTCTGATATCAATGATTACATTCATCAATACATGGATCAAAAAAATCATCACTCAACAGATTCTAAAGGAGAAAAAAGTATTCAATTAATTTAACTTTTATACTATCTACCTATCGAGTTCTCATATCACTTGATGGTGATTATCAACTTGATCTAAGAGGAACAGAATTTGGAGACCTGATTGGATTTGAAAAGAAACTTATTACAAAAACAGAGTATGGAACAAAACTACCAAATATCACAAATTCGATTGATGTGTTAAATATCAACACAAGCGCAATAACTGATAGCATTGTAAATGGAATAAATACAAATACTCTTGCTGTGGTACCAACAGACGATCTAACAAGGTCTTATCCATTTACATTTGAACCTAAAAGAACATTGTATTGTGATGTTTCTTCATTTCACATTGATGAAATGAGAATCTATGTGACAGACTCACTTGGAAGACCAGTAAATTTTAATGGTATAGATTGGTTTATGACTTTAATACTACACTCAATGTAATATAACTATTAAAATAAAATGATGAGACAATCAGAGTTTAAAATGAAACTTGACCCTGAATTGGGTAGATATACAAGACAACATATTTATGGAGAAGGAATGATGGATGTGTTTAAATCGGTTGGTAAAAAAATATTTGGAAAGACAATGAAAAAAGCTGCTAAAAAGGGTGTTGAAAAAGCAGTAACAACAGCTGCAACAAAAACCGGTGAACATGCTGGTAAAAAGGCTGGTGATAAAATAGTGCAAATGTTAACCAAAGAAAAGGTTGCACCCACCAAAAAACGTACTAGTACAAAAAAAGTTACTTTTAATAAAAATATTGAAACAATTCGAAACACTCAACAAGAGATAAATCAAAGAGTGAATGCCATTCTTAGTGGAGGTTCAACACGTAAGAGAAAATTATATAATTATTAAAATAAAATGAAGTCATTTAGAAATCCAAAATATTTAGAAAGATATGAAGATGTTCTTTTTGACCTTGAACAGGCTTTAGCAGCACCTGGAAATAATGCTCATCAAACTAAAACAGGTCATAGATTTGTTGCTGATAACACAGGAGAAGCTACTCCTTTTGATTGGTATAACGCGCGATTTTCAGTAGATTTCAAAGTTAATCAGCTGGCTGCTGGAGCTGGTATAGATGCAGATGGAGATCAAATGGGTATAGTAAATGGAAGTAGTTCCCTCGTAGAAAAGTTATCTATCCTAGCAAATGGAAGAGATGTTTACAGTTGCAACTATGCTAATCATGTAGTAAATATTAAGAATTTACTTGAATATAATCCATCTTATGCTGAAAGTGTTGCCACAAATGAATTTTACTATCTTGATACAACAAGAAATGCTGAAAGACAAAAATTTACCACTGGAAATGTAAGAAATGCTACAGGTGATGGACAAACAGCAGCACTTTTAACCTCTGTAGCTAATTATAACAAAGGTTTTGCAATAAGAAAAGCACTATTAGGCGACTCAGCAACAGTACGATGTGAAATTCCTCTTAACAGATATTCTTTCTTTGAATCATTAGGGGATAAACTTCTTCCAAATACAAAAATTGAGTTTAATTTAGAACTAGAATCAGATAACAATCTTATCTGGCGAGCTGGAGGTAATGCTTGTAGAGTTATACTAACAAGATTTCAACTATTTGTTCCAAGAATAACATTTAACGCAGAAGGACAAAAACTATATATGGAAAATTATCTCAAACCATACAAATGGATGTATCTTAATGAAGTAGTAGAGCGATCAAATAACTCTCAACAGCAAACAGGTCATTTTAGAATTACAAATGCAATCTCAAAACCTCGCCATGTCTTTGTTTTTGGAATTAACACAGCCAATATTGAATCACAAACAGCAAATCCATTTTTATACAATACTTTTAATCTACCAAACAATGCTAATATATCTCGCTGTTATCTCGAGGTTGGAAATGGGAATGAATACCCTGATATTCACTTTAAACCAGCTACAGATCCAGCAAGAGTTTTCAGAGAAGTACTCAATGTCATACGTATATGCAAATAATGACTTTCAAGGTGGAACACTTCTCAATAGAACAAATTTTGAAAATTTATTTCCTTTTGTTTATTTTGATCTTACAAAACAAAAAATGGATATAAAAGATGGAGTTACAAAATTATCGTTTCACTACGAACTATCTGCTAATCCAAACGCTAATTATAATATATACGCTTTAATACTTCACGAACGAGAAGCAGAAATTGAACAACAAGGAGGAAAACTATTGCTACGTGCTTAGATTTAATATAATTCTATAAATAAATGACAACTTATATTGAATACGGTGTAACACTTACAGACGGACAAAAGTCAAAATTGGCTTCTGCAATATTAAATAAATCACCACTAACTCTTCGGTTAAAACATTCTCATCTTAGAGGTTCTGATGAGTTAATGTTGACAAAAAGACAAATTTCTAAAATAAAAAAATCTATTGCAAATGGCACAGGATCAGATATAAAGATAAGTAAAACTCAGATTAGACGTTCTGTAAAGCATGGTGGAAACTTATTTTCTTCACTCGCATCTCTTGGAGCAAAAGTACTACCATATGCAATGAAAGGAATTTCAAAAGCTGTTCCTGCATTGGCAACTGGTGCTGCTACTGCACTTGGAGAAATTGGATTAAATAAAATATTTGGAAAAGGAATTACAATTCCCCCTCAGTTTTTCCCAATGTTACCACCTCTTGTAAGAGAATTTGCCAAATCACAAATAAATCAAATTAACAAAGCTTATCAATCAGGCGGGCGATTAGTTATAAAACCAACTCGTAGACAGATAGAAGGAGGATTTCTTGGAACTCTTGCATCAATTGGAATCCCAATGGCAATTAGTTTAGTATCTAAGATGTTTGGCTCTGGACTACAGGTTTATAGACGTGGATCATCTAATACAGCAAACGTCTACGTTCCACATCCTCCTCCTCCACCCACACATGGTGAAGGTTATCCTTATCACTTTCCACCACCTTTTTTAGGTACATGGAAAAACCCAGTTGGAATGGGAGTAAAAAAAAAAAGTCCAAGTCCAAAGGAAAAGGACTACTACTAGGAAAAAACAGCCCATTCAACTCAATTCCATTAATAGGGGCCATTTTGTAATTAAACCATTATCCAACTTTGACCTTATGGATTGGGTAAAGAAACTTGGTATTAAACATTTCAGAGGTATTTACAGTAGGGATGGACTACCAAACAAAATCAAAAAAGAATGTGGAATAATTAATCTAGATGATATAACAGGTCCTGGAACACATTGGGTTTGTTATAGAAATATAGACAATGTAGTTGAATACTTCGATCCATTTGGTTTAATAATGCCAAATGAAGCATTAAGGTATTTTTATACTTCTGGAAAACGAATAGTTTACTCAATGGATGAAATACAAAATCGCAATACTGTTCTCTGTGGTTATTGGTGTTTATACTATCTGTTTGAGAGACAGCGGGGTAATAGTATTCTAGATATAATACATAACCCACATTTTGATGATGACAACAGTGATTTTATAAAAGCTTATTTTTCTTAATTTCTTAAGATTAAATAAAATATTTTATTTAATCTATACTTTAAATAGTTTTACTATTTAGGGTAATACGATTTAAATTTATTTTCAATTTCGCTATAATTTTTTTCTAATTTCTTCAAATAATAATTAAGATCTAAAAGCCTAATAAATTCTTCAGAAGTTTTAAAATTTTTATCTTTAATATTTAAATTTAAATTATCCCAAAATTCTTCTTCTTTTTCATTAAAAAATAAACTTAAATCAGTATTTCCTTTTCGAAAATCATTTATATATTTTATAATTTCAATTCTAACCTTTGCTCTTTGCCTTGCTATATCATTATCATATAAACCTCTTAAAACATTTTTCATTTATCTTTATATTACTAATCTTTAAACTATTTTATTCACTATCCGTAGGTGTATCCTTTAGCTGTTTAACACTTTCAACTTTTTTATTTAAATCTTTAACACTATCAACTATTTCATCAAATTTCGAGTAAATATTAATAAGTCTAAAAAGTTTCTTCTTTTTATCACTACTTATTTTCAACCAAGAATATTCCTCATCTCTGATTTTCCCCCACATCTCACATTCACCAGCCATTAGTATTCTAGAAAGATCATCATTTTTCTTTCTAAGAGTCTCAAACTCATTATTTATTTGTGTCCGTACATCTTTCTCAAAATCTTTTAGTGTTTTAACATCCATCTTTTTTTCTATCTCAGAAAAGAATTTGGCTTCCATTTATTATATAAATAGATAATTACCTTTTACAACTTTGTTGAGAGTATTTGATTTCTCACTTATTTCCATAAGCAACTCAAATACTTTTATAAATCTAGTGTCATTTTCCAATCTAGCAAAATCAGCATATTCATAACTCATGTTTAAATTATTATATATCTTTTGAAGTTCACTTTTTAAAAAATTAGATCTAGTAGACATATTTATCTAAACATTATATTAAATGAAAGAATCATATTGTATTGTAGATAAAAGAGTAACTCCTTGCGCAGAGCCAAGTGGTTACCAAAAAGATAAAAGAGGTCGAACTCAATTCTTTTGTAGATGTGCAGTTTGCGGAAATAAAAAAGTTAGATATGTGAAAACTGGATCAGCTTCTCAAACTGGAAGTGGAAAAAAGAGAAAACGAAAATCAAAAAAGTAATCAGACCGTCTGAAGGGGCGGGCGTCTTTGATACTGTTGTTGGTACAGCAGTTGATGGATTTGTTCATTACGGTTTACCTTGGATGGGTAAAAAAGCAGTTGAAATGGGACGATATGGAGCAAGCGAGTTAATGAGAAATAAAAATCTTCAGAAGAAAGCTGTAAATTATGGGATTAGTAAACTCACTCCATTTATTCAAGATTCTGTTGGAACAGCCATGGACCAGTTATCAACAAAAGTAAGACCAAAAAATAAATATAAAACTGATAGACCAGAATTAGATGGAAGAGGAATAGATATTCACAAGCAGATTGGTAAATTACCAAAACCAAAAGGTGGATGGACCTTACCAGGGCATAAATATACAGGTCCTTATAACGATCTCGAAAACCAAGTAAGATACAATCCGGAAACTGGTGAAATATTAGAAATTTATGATCAACCAACAGGACCAACTGATGCTGTGCCCATGCAACATGATGTTGATTATAGTGTTTGTGGTGATGACCGAAAATGTAAAAATAAAGCTGACAGAAAGATGGTTAGATCGTTAGATGCAATTCCTTGGAAAGAAAGACAATGGGGGCATACTTTAGCTAGAACAATAATTAATACTAAACAAAAACTTGGAATGGGAACAAAAAACGTAAAGCGGCGTTGAGTAGTGATTGGTCTCAACAATTAGCCGACGAACTTCACAAACCAATCACAAGAGACTTTCAGAAGAGATCAGTAATCTCAAACGGGATTGATGATATCTGGGCTGCTGATTTAGTTGAAATGCAAAAGTTTAGTAAGTGGAACAAAGGGATTAAATATCTGCTGATGGTTATTGATGTGTTTAGCAAATATGGTTGGATTAGAGGTTTGAAAGATAAAAAAACTGAAACTGTTAGTAAAGCGTTTGATGATATATTTAAAAGTAAACGTAAACCGCAGATGTTATGGACAGATAAAGGTTCTGAGTTTATCAGTAAACATTTCAAAGAGTTTCTAAAAAGAGAGGGAATCAAGTTGTATCACACTGAAAATGAAGAGAAATCAAGTGTTGTTGAGCGATGGAATAAAACAATGAAAAACAGAATGTGGAAGATGTTTACTGTGAATAACAACACTGTTTACTGGAATAAAATAGATAAACTGGTTAATGACTACAATAATTCGAGACACTCTAGCATTAAAATTACTCCTGTTGAAGCAAGTAAAAAGAAAAATGAAAGTAAAGTTTGGAATAATTTGCACGGTGATTTAATTTACTTAAAACCTGGTAAACCAAAGTTTTCTATTGGAGATCGTGTTAGAATTTCAAAATATAAGAGAAAAGTATTTGATAAAGGTTACACACCAAACTGGACAGAGGAGATATTTGTAATTAATAAAGTTCTTACAACAAAACCTGTTACGTATAACATTGTTGATTTGATGGGAGAAGAGATTAAGGGTTCTTTCTACGAGTAGGAATTACAGAAAGCAAAACAGCAGACATTTAGAATAGAAAAGATAATCAGATGAGATAATAAAAAGAAAATGGCATTAGTAAAATGGAGTGGATATCCTAATAAATTTAACTCATGGGTGAGTTCTAATGATTTGGTTGATTTTTAATACAAATAATGTATTAAAAATAAAATCCTATTATTTACTCATTTTCTTCTTTATCAGATGAAAGTAAGTCTTCAACTACTTGATCAGTTATCTCTTCACCCTCACTCTCTTCCTCTTCAATTGTTAGTAAAGATTCCCTAGGTTTAAGTGGTTTGATATAGCACTCATGTACTTTTATTTGTAAAGATGTTACAGTCTTGCTAATAAATATTCCTTCGATTATCAGTGCCATTTTAACATTGCAGTATTGATTGATATATTTAAAAGGATTTAAATCCTTCTTTCCTTTTGTTTTAAATAGTGAAAGAATTTTCTTTGATTTCTCAGAGTAAATCAGTTTTGGGTAAAGAACTGGTGCTGATGAATTATCTATTCTTGTTTTCTTCTTTCCTTTCTTATCTGTATATTCTTCCTGTTTAAAATATAATGGTGAAGATAGAGTTGATGCTAAATCTGCACCGTATTCATTCTCTAAATATTGCTGAGAGGCAGTTGTTATATTGTTAATAACATCAAAAAATGCACGCTCTTTAGTACTCGGCTCACTACCTTTAGCCCAAAGACATACTGGAGTACTATAACCTATATACTACTAACTTATTTGTTTCTTGGTCTTTCTTCTCACTTACTCCAAAAGAAAAAAGAACTGGAGTTTCAATTACAAGTGGTCCTTTTTTGTTATTTGGATATTTGACTTCAATTGGAATACGTTTGTATTTGATTTTGCTGTCTTTTACTTTATACTCTTTAGGTTCATTAAAAATAATATTCTCTGAGGTTAAATTTTCGTAACTGGATAACTGCATTTTTTTATTATAAAAATTATTGCTTTAAACCATTTTTAATTTCTTTCAAATCATTTGCAATAAATCTAAAACAATCACCAATATCTAAATATAATATATCTTTATTTCTTTCATATCTAAGTTCTGAAAATTGTATTGCAAGTTTTTGTAATCTTTTTTCTATATTTCCAATTATATCAAAAAAATCACTAGATTTAACAAATTTTTTACCATCTAAATCAATATCGTTAAATGGTCTAGTAATATCATCATTACATCCTAAACTCATTTTATTATATTTTATCAAATCTTTAATTCACTTTTTGGGCCATAAAAGATGAACTGACCAATAGTTAGATGATTCAGGATTAGTATAAGTTAACTCACCTTGTTTATTTTTAATCTTTGTCACTCTAGAAAGATATTTATCTCGTCAATCTTTGTCTTTGTGAATAAGATAGTCTGGATATTTTGGTGACCCAAAATGAACTTTCTTTCCACTTAAAAGCGTTGCCATGTATTTATCATTTTTTCGTGTTGAATAATCAAGCGATTCAGCACCAAGTTTTTTAGCATTCCTGGTTAGTTTTTTAAAATCTTTTCCGCTTAAAAGATATTTTTTATCATTAGGAATATAATCTGGATCCTCATCATATCTATAGCCGTCATCTACTATAAAATCCAAATCTTCTTTTGTAGGAGTAGTTTCTCTTGATCTTGGTTCCATTTTTTTTATTAATTGATTAGATTATTATTTCTTTCATCTAATAAATTTATAATAAATAAATAAATTTTTAAGTTGAAAAGGATCAAATGAAAATTCAATTGTTTTTGAATCTTCTTCTTGAGATGCACAAGCTGCAAATTGAATTTCATATTTATCATATTCTATTTTAGCTTTATATTTATAATCCTTGTAGTATCTAAATAATAATCCATATACCATCTTTTGAAAATCTATTAAATATTTATCAGTTGGATAACTAAAATAAAAATAAGTATTATTTATTTCTTCCATTAAACTTTTTATTTTTTCTTTATATTTCCTTTGCTTCATCTTAATATCTTTTATTATAAAAAAAAGTACATTTATCATTAAAATTCTTAATCTTTCATAATCGTTATACGTTACAAAGTAATATTCTTCCATTTCTTCTTCTAACAATCCATTTTCTCTATCTTCATATAAACTACTAAATAAACTTTCTTCTCTTTTGTAACTTTTTCTTATATTAGTATTTAAATTAAACAAAAATTTTAATATTCTATTCATTTTTATATTTATAATAATATTAATCTTATAACAAAAAAATGTTATAAGATAAAAAAATATTTAATCACTATCACTATCATATTCACCATAATAATACCTACAAATAACCCTATCTTCATACTTAACTTTAAACTTACTAAAAAATATTTTAAATACTTCATAAATACTATCCATACCAGGATAAGGTTCAATATATTCCTCTTCATAAAAATCTTTCAAAAACTTAATATACTGACAAAAATTATTAAAATTTTTATCAATCTTAATTAAGTTATCGACGTCATCTCTTTCAAGTACAAAATTGCTTGTATCTTGAAGACGGCCTCTTTCTAGAGCTAACAAGAATCTTTTGATAAACTTTTTGTTTCTAGCAACTCTATGATTTTGAAATAAACCACGAGATGCTTCATCTATGTTATCAACAAAGTATTTAAATTCCTTATTAATCCCTCTTATAATAAGCCACTCCTTTCGGAATTGACCTACATATTCAGGAATTTTATTAAAATTGGGTGTCCCAGTAAAGCGGCTCGCAAACCCCATTTCTATAACTACTTCCAAAAATGTAACTTAACCAAGTTACTTTTCCAGTGGAGAGTTATTGATGACTGGCAATATGTCTGCATTTACAGGCCAGAAAATTTTTCACATTTAATCGTGATGTTTAAACAGGAAGTTTAGTTAGCCCAAGATGAAAATTATAACCAGCACAACACAGCATAAAGATTAGTAGAGGACTTTTGTATCAGCTGTAAATAAAGGTATTACAAAAATGTTGGAAAACGTGGTTGCCTGACCTTTATATATATGCAGTCTAAGGAAATGTTAATACTTACTTGCATTATTTGGTTCTCTGAAAATGGAGAATTGTTCTAAAAGAAAGTAGATACAGGCATGTTAAACTAATAAAAGTAACACTTTCTTGTCTGTTTTTANTGATATCAATGTGATATGCACACGAAATCATTGGTGTTAAAACTTCATTAATTTAAAAAAAATCCGGCAACAAAATTCTTAGCGTGCAAACACCGACGTTTTCCCGGTTGTCGCCTCTCAGTCTCTCCATCCAAAAATGTAACTTAACCAAGTTACTTTTCCAGTGGAGAGTTATTGATGACTGGCAATATGTCTGCATTTACAGGCCAGAAAATTTTTCACATTTAATCGTGATGTTTAAACAGGAAGTTTAGTTAGCCCAAGATGAAAATTATAACCAGCACAACACAGCATAAAGATTAGTAGAGGACTTTTGTATCAGCTGTAAATAAAGGTATTACAAAAATGTTGGAAAACGTGGTTGCCTGACCTTTATATATATGCAGTCTAAGGAAATGTTAATACTTACTTGCATTATTTGGTTCTCTGAAAATGGAGAATTGTTCTAAAAGAAAGTAGATACAGGCATGTTAAACTAATAAAAGTAACACTTTCTTGTCTGTTTTTAGTTGTAAATTGTAAACTGAAAATATCTTTTTATCCCTCAAGGAAAATTTCCAACACTGGTTGGGGGACTTTAGCTGGAATTCACCCACCACATCGCGAACTATATCCCCTATTCTTAACGAAACCGGGGCCAGGGATAAAACCAGTGGCTCCGCAGACCGGCACTTATCCAATTGAGCTAAACCAAGTGGTAGTTTTAAGACTATTACGGCATTCACATTCCATTCACTAGTTAGCAGTACACAAGCTGAGTTCCCAAGATTAATCTGACTAACACTGAATAATATGTAATATATTTATTATTGCTAGAGATTAGACTACTGGAAGACCATAAGTTCCCTAGAGGTGAACCACTGTGGTTTCAGTAGTCAGTTTAAACTCTTTTCACATGGCTGCTGCTTGTGGAAGATCTACGTGTTATAGGTGAAGTCAACTTTTCTGTGTTGCTGAACTGTTAATGTTTTTTTTTTTTTGCTGCTTTTACTAACTTCTCTTGCTGAAACAATCTTTTCATGCAGAGTTCCACCATCACAGAAATCCTGCAATAATAAATAACAAAAAATTGGTAAAGCTTGTATTAGGATTAAAAGTAAATGTTGCGAATCTATCCTAAAAAAAAGCACTCAAACAAACATTTTTTAAAAATATTTTATAAGAAACATTGAATTCCCATGATAACAGCTAATTTGCTCTCAGCAAAAAACATTAAAAGGTACTAGATGATATCAGTTACACTTAATTTATGGTTTAATTTTCAAACCTGAGTTTCATTCATTTACCAATCATTTTTTACTGTCTGTTCTTTCTTAGTTTTCCTCTGTCTAACCATACACTGTTCTTCTATCATGTACATGTACCACTAATAAAATAAATAACTTCAACATAAAAGATACAACTTTATTTTACGAAATTGCCCTTGAATTAAATTATTCTTTTCATTATTATTCTTTCAAAATATTTCTCTGCATTTCTGAGAACCTCAACTCCCCAGTTAATATTCTTCATTATAAACAGCTTAAGCTACAAGTCTTTGACTAGATCTCAGAAGGTGACTCCACCTCAACCTTCAGCCTCAGTGGATAACACCCTCCTCAATCTGTATTATTCTTTACACCAAACTCAGCCCCATCCAGTAATAATAACACTGCTGCTAAGCATTTCATAGCTAGGATAACCAGTACCTGAACAATGAAAAGCTTTTCCTCTGATGGATCAAAAAATGACTCTTGCAGTGAAACAACATGCGGGTGTTTTAGATGAGCTAAAATGCTAAAAAATCAACAAATAATGAGATGTCAACTCTCCTGGATAAGTTACTAAGCTCCTGGTCACCTGTATGGGTCACTGACCATTCCAAATTTCCTGCATAAAATCGACTTATGAGCTTTTCTGTACTTTAGTTTTGGAATTTGGCCCATTTTCTTCAATTAATTTGAGTATTTTTTTTTTCATTTATAGTTGTAACAAGGTTTCTGGGGCATTTTTGCAAGTACTTCATCACTGACAAAGATTAATATTTCATCAATATGATCGCAAATTAAAGTGAATTTTGATGACCTGTACTTATGCTGCATGCAAGACTTCATATAATGTCCTCCTAAGTCACACCCATGTTGGAGACTTGGTCAATTTGTGTTGATCAGGGTAGAAGGGGTTGGTCATTGATATTTGCAGGGGGGGGGGGGAGGGCTAATGCAAAAGACAGAGTCTCCAGATTTTATATCTCCAAAGGCTGGCATTTAATTCTTTTTATGGCAGACTAGCTTAAACACTGCTATGCAGTACCTTGCTTCTTTTAAAACAGCTTCTTTAGTTCTGTTCTTCTTATTTGGATCTAAGATAATTTCTTTAATAGCAACATGTCTGTGTAATAACAAAGAATAACACATGTGAATGTCCAGTTATGGGAAAAGAAGGTATCATAATAATTGTGGAGACAAGGACCAAGATGGTGGGAATTCCTTAGTGTTTTAAGAGCGTGCATATTTGTCTCTGCTGGTCTTTCTAATTAAACAATTATGCACACTGTTAAGAAAAATTTTCCAACTACCGTAAAATTCCAAAAATAAGCCCCAGGGCTTATATATTTTTCAAAGGCCCTTTTTGAGGCTAGGGGCTTATTTTTGGAGGGGCTTATATTCGAAGGAGCTTAATATCTACGGAGGGAAATTTGAGTTTCAAAATCGATTGGGCTAGCCTTATAGTTAGAAGTAATTTTGGTTTACTTTGTATTTGAGGGCAATTTTCCAAGTACAAGCCCCTGGGGGGCTTATAGTTTATTTGAGGCTGGGCAATTTAACGGAGGGTTTTTTTTTTGTGTAATACTGGTTTGGGTTTACATTTGGTGGGGCTTATACATGGAGGGGCTTATTTTCGGAATTTTACGGTAAATAACAATTAAGCTTAAATCATTTGCAATCAAGGCTTAAGCCTTAACTTATCTAAACATAAGCTTACACAAGTCACCAGTCTTTTAGTCTGCTTTATAAATAAGATAGTTCCAGTCTGTTCTGCTAGGTGTACCCAACTATACCTTGAACTGTTCTTCTCTGTAGCGAGGAGAACCTTACCACCAGCTCCCTTGCCAATAGTTTTGATGACGTCGTATCTTTCCATTTCCTAAAATAATCTTAGCGTCTTATCACCACGGTTGTTGAGCTTCATTTTTTACAACACCTGTTCTAACGATTTTTTGATGCCGTCAGACGGGCAGAATATTTCTACTTCCACAAACTGCAGACGCCTTGTAGTCATCTGAGGTAACCAGATTTGTTTAAAATTGTTCAGAAGGTTTTACAAAATGATCGTCGATTTCGTTTCCATGTAATCAAGTTTCAGACACGGAAGAGACCAGCCAAGTAGCCACGCTAAGATATTGCGGCCTGGTCACATAGCGAGCACGTAGGTTTGAAGTTCTCCATTTTTCTCGCATTTGTGCTTTGAAAAAGGACAGTTTTTCTTCAAAAAATTTCTGAAATGGCAATTCCAGTGGCACCTCAACCAGTCCAACAACCAAAATCGTGGGGTGAGTATCTAAAGAAACTTAAAAACAGCACATGCTCGGACGGATGTCGTTCACTACGCGTTGAACAAGCTACCATAGATATAAAATTTAACAGCGTTTATTACATTGCACAATGTAATAAACGCTGTTAAATTTTATATCTCTGCCATCTTTTCCATGTTTTGAATAGTCTATGTTTTTTAAACAGTGCTTTTAAAACACTTTGCCCCAATATGCGAGCATTTTGGTGAATGTGTGTGTACTCACGTAATTTATGCAAATTAACTAAGCCGTCAAAATTATTAATTCTTGCTGCTGTTTCGTTTTGAAAAATTACATCAGTGTTTCACCAACACGGTGTCACCCTCAGCACCTGTCAAAACTGCTTTCATTATTATGTTTAACGTTAAAAAATTTTCCTTCCCTTTGGTTTTATTCTTTTAATTTCTTTTTCATCACAGAGACAGTGCCTATTGTTTTTAGGCATCTTTGATCTCAGATTCATTCTTAATCTTTAATTAATCACTTTGTTAATATTGGAAGCTTAATTCAAGAAATGTGATTCTCTTTTTTTCAAAATTTTGACCTTATTTTAAAATGTAGGAGTGGTCATAGTAAGGGAGTGCGTCCAAATATCGGTCGGGAACCTGATCATCGGAAACGGACCCGATTAATTTTTCAATGGTTCGGAATCGGTACCAGTCTGTAGGCAGCAGTATCCTCCTCTGTCCTGTGGCAATAAAAAGTTAAAGTACACAACATGGTAACAGCATTTGCATTTTGGTCGTGGATGTTCTGACTTCTTTCTTTTTTTTTTTTTTTTTGCTTAAAGTCCTTAAACTGTTAATGCCTCCAAAGATCCCTATAATCATGCATTTTGGGTTAGCACGGGCCTAAGCTATTTTCAAATTATCATTTTGAGATCGTACACATACATTGCGCCCTCTTTTACTCAAAAGATGCTCTTCAGCATTGCTGAATAACCCACTGTTTCATCTCGTGCCAATTTTGATACACAAATTTAATCTTTTCTGTTCATACTCTGGCATAGGAAATCAAACAAATGTTCATAAAATAATGTTATGTTAAACATCGTTGAAAAAACAAGACACATTTATAAGAAATGTAATGCTAAAAATAATAAGAAACACTTTATCTGCTGGTCTACAACATATAAGTTGGAAAAATGTGTTTGTGCATCGAAAAGCAGTCATTCTCTCTTTTGCTTTGTTAACATTTTAAGTGACGTGACCGGTGAGCTGCCAGATATTTTTGATGACTTTTGTTAATTGGCCCGATAAAGAAGAGACCTATTGCTGATTCCGTTTCATTCAGTGCCAATAATATCGGGTCCAACATTCAATGGAATCGGAAAAAATCGGTACCCAATAATTGATCGGCATCAGTGTGACCCGATGCCGATATTTGGATGCATTCCCTATTAAAATCCTTTCCTTGTTCAGACCCTTTGTACAATTTTTGGTACATGTTTGATGACATGGTCCTTTGAGAATTTGACAGAATTTAAGAAGTAGTTTACTGGTAGATTGCAAGATTATAGTTAATTTATCATGTCCTTTAAACCCAAACTGCTAAAAGAAACCCTCAAATGTTCATGTGGCAACATGCAAAAATTAATCATAACCAGGTCAGTTCATTAAGAAACTGCAAAAAAAAATGGGTGCCCTAAAATGTTAACTACTGTAAGGGGGTGTTTGCATGAGGAAACTTGCACCGGCACAAGTTTCATACCAGGATAACTTTTTGATTTTGTATCGTGTTTACATGATGATGGGTCATTTCATATCTTGCTTATTTGAAGGTACACTTCATGTTAATAAAACACAGGTGCAATTCAAGATCGCAAACATTACGCATGCGCTGTCTCAGTCCATCCGCAGACCAATTTCACACCCAAATGGTGGTCAATGTTTCGTGTTTACAAGATACTAGCGTGAAATTTCATACGGGTGTGAAATTCTCACTCTGGTACAACAACCATGCATGACATTTTGTGGTGGTATCATGTAAACAAATATAGAGCCATGAGAGGGAGCCAGAGTGAACTCGCGCCGCCTTGAAAGTGGCCCGGTGTCACGTAAACACCCCCTAAGAGGTACAGTAAAAAGGAGTTCAAACCGTTATCAGCGCAGAGTTTAGAGCTAACTCGAAACAAGTTAGTACGTCCACTTTAGTTTCCTCAAAGACAAGTTGTAGTCTTGTGCCAAAAGATGGGCCTATAAAAAGAGGCCTTATTAGGTCGGGGAAGGCTAAAAAGTGGCAGTTTACATTATGACATTTTGTCATCATTATTTTTAGAGCTAAGCTTGTATGAGCTTCATCGCACACCTCAAGAGGCCATCACTGATGGAACAGAGATTTCCATATCGCCTCGCAGTCTCCACAGTGAACTTATGTGCCCAATTTGCTTAGATATGCTGAAGAACACAATGACAACCAAAGAGGTGGGTGTGCAAGTTTGTTCAAGTTTATGTTACATGCACTCTTATATTAAAATAGATCAGTTTTCTGTTATGTTTTTTTTCCCACTGGGACTACACATGTGTATGCATAACATGTTCATTGTATATGTTTTTTTGAATGTCATAGTGTTTACACAGATTCTGTCAGGAGTGCATAATAACAGCATTGAGGAGTGGGTACGTATATGAAGTCATCCCCTGTACATGTACATATACAAATATGTACATAACCTTTACCTAGTTTTAGCTCAAAGTTGCATGCAATATATATATATATAGAAGATGTAACAATGCAGCATAATACCAACAGCAGATTTTTAAAATACTGGTTTATGAAGAGATAATTGAACCTCCACATGTAACCACAACACAACAAAATTGTCTCCGTTAAAACCGTATAGTTAAAACCTCTCATAAACTGGTAACCATCTCTTGAAAGCAACCATGATCACCTATGAGGCAACACTTTTATAGTAATTTCCGTGTTTTTATTCCCATGTAAGCAACCACTTGACACGTGTATGCACTTCACCTAGTCAGGGTATGCAGAGACCTTTTAGTGACAACAGTCATGTAAATGCAATGCATGTTTTATAATGAACTAAAAGCCCACATCAGTATATTGAGTACAGGGTAAATAAATCATGTTCATGTTACAGGTAAAGGGGGGAATTTCATGTATCCCATGATGCATCTCTTCATACTATCATTAGAAGCTAGCGAGGAAGGTCTTTGCTTCAGTACATCCTGTTTTAACATGCGTTGATAAAGGTCTCCGTGGATCAACAAGCAATTTCCACGTACTAGTCAATACATATTCTAGGTGTGAGATTTCTCTTCGTTGCTTGTTGGTGATCGCAGTGCTCATATTGTCATTTCAATAATTCATTGATGCAGTACATCAACTGTACGGTGACCGCACGTGCTTTTACTTCAACAAGCTCGGCTTATGTAGTCGAAAATACCGAGGCCATTAAAATGCAAAGTGACGTCTAGTTTTTGATGATTGAAAGTCATCTGAATAAATATTCACTCGCGAGTTAAAACAGCATGGCTTAACAGGGTCGTAAACAAGAGCAATAATGCGTGAAATGACCATGGAAACATTTTACATTATTAATCAGATACCAAAGATTAACAGGGCTCATTGAAACTTACCTTGGATGAATGCATCTTGAAATTCAGGCCGTTGAAAATCTTCCTCGAAACCCTCGAACGCTCTTTCCACCGCGGAGAGAAGACAGAAATTTGCCATGAAGCATCATGGGATATATGAAATTCCCCCCTTTGTTACCGGTCAAATTTGATTTCAGGTTAAATTATTTTAACCTAGGTTGATTCTCAATTTCCTTGGTCTTTTTGAGCTAGGATACAGAGGAATTGAGAATCGACCTACAATAGGTTAAATCAAATGTACCCTGAAATCAAATTTGACCTGTAACGTACATTAACATATTAAATTGAACATAGCAGGGCTGTCAAAAAACTTTTAAGTAGCAGACTGATGATGAATAGTAGGCAGCTTTGAAACTCGCACCTAAGGCACAAGTTCTTGAGGGCCAAGGCATCTAGGAACATTTTTAAATTTTAGAGTCTCAGAAATGGCATTTCCAGGGGTATTTTAATTCCACCACGGACGCCATGTTGTTTTCTCAGACTTGGAACAGTCCCGTAGAAATGTCCCAGGCGTTCCAAGACATCGCACTGGTTTGAATTCACAGATTTAAAAAAAGGAATATGCATTCAGTGCTATTCAAAACTGGGAGCTGAATGCTTTACAATTTTATTCAGTGGTGCTTATTTTTTGTTAGCCAGCTAAGGATAGCTAACTAGCTGGTGGTTTTGGCTGGCTACCAGCTCTTATTGACAGCCCTGCATGGACACACAACCTAAATCAACAGAAAGGACTAAAACATTATTAAAGTAACAAACGGATAGACATATGGCAGCACAGCACTCAACATTGATTACTAGTCTTATCTCCTGCAGTGTATTGTTGTGTTTCTCGAGAATAAAACCATGTTGTTTGAAGAATTTATTAAAGGATATGAGAAGTAGAATGGACTTCAAACATTTTTAAGGCTTTGTTGATTTATTGATGAGATCTATAATTATGTTTTTGTAACTTGCATTCGCAGAAACAAGGAATGTCCAACATGTAGGAAAAAGCTGATTTCAAAGCGATCCTTACGTCCTGATCCCAATTTTGATGCCCTCATAGCGAAAGTAAGATATTTCAATTTAACTTTTTTAAGAATATTTTGTGAACTGCACAATTGCTAGTACCTGTTGCTGTATTGTTTAAATTATTGTCAAGCCATTGGTTCTCCATTTTAAAGGTGTAATGAGTTACTTTTAAACAATGCACACACTGTCAAAAGTTGGATTATTAGTTAAGTGATTTGTGTACAAAATTGTATGCTTTCAGATCACTCCATCAATTTCTTTTTCCTTTTTCCTTAGATGTAGAGTAATTAAAATAAAACTATTATGATAGAAATAAGAATAATTGTCACTTAAAATATTTTCCTTCCTTTCCTTTCACTTTATTTTTCTTTTAACTGGGCCGCCTAGATAAGCAAAAGCAGATTTGTGGGCCAGTCCATTGTAATTACTATTTTTACTAAATAAAGTTGAAGTTGAAGTTGTAATTTGACGTTATTTAAAGATTACATACACTGTACCTGTTTTATGTACATGGTGTAAAGGTTTCTTACTCCCGTAACTTGATTATCTGCATTTGCAATATTTTTTTAGATTTACCCGGACAGAGACGAATATGAAGCACAGGGCTTATATATTTTTCAAAGGCCCTTTTTGAGGCTAGGGGCTTATTTTTGGAGGGGCTTATATTCGAAGGAGCTTAATATCTACGGAGGGAAATTTGAGTTTCAAAATCGATTGGGCTAGCCTTATAGTTAGAAGTAATTTTGGTTTACTTTGTATTTGAGGGCAATTTTCCAAGTACAAGCCCCTGGGGGGCTTATAGTTTATTTGAGGCTGGGCAATTTAACGGAGGGTTTTTTTTTGTGTAATACTGGTTTGGGTTTATATTTGGTGGGGCTTATACATGGAGTGGCTTATTTTCGGAATTTTACGGTAAATAACAATTAAGCTTAAATCATTTGCAATCAAGGCTTAAGCCTTAATTTATCTAAACATAAGCTTACACAAGTCACTAGTCTTTTAGTCTGCTTTATAAATAAGATAGTTCCAGTCTGTTCTGCTAGGTGTACCCAACTATACCTTGAACTGTTCTTCTCTGTAGCGAGGAGAACCTTACCACCAGCTCCCTTGCCAATAGTTTTGATGACGTCGTATCTTTCCATTTCCTAAAATAATCTTAGCGTCTTATCACCACGGTTGTTGAGCTTCATTTTTTACAACACCTGTTCTAACGATTTTTTGATGCCGTCAGACGGGCAGAATATTTCTACTTCCACAAACTGCAGACGCCTTGTAGTCATCTGAGGTAACCAGATTTGTTTAAAATTGTTCAGAAGGTTTTACAAAATGATCGTCGATTTCGTTTCCATGTAATCAAGTTTCAGACACGGAAGAGACCAGCCAAGTAGCCACGCTAAGATATGGCGGCCTGGTCACATAGCGAGCACGTAGGTTTGAAGTTCTCCATTTTTCTCGCATTTGTGCTTTGAAAAAGGACAGTTTTTCTTCAAAAAATTTCTGAAATGGCAATTCCAGTGGCACCTCAACCAGTCCAACAACCAAAATCGTGGGGTGAGTATCTAAAGAAACTTAAAAACAGCACATGCTCGGACGGATGTTGTTCACTACGCGTTGAACAAGCTACCATAGATATAAAATTTAACAGCGTTTATTACATTGCACAATGTAATAAACGCTGTTAAATTTTATATCTCTGCCATCTTTTCCATGTTTTGAATAGTCTATGTTTTTTAAACAGTGCTTTTAAAACACTTTGCCCCAATATGCGAGCATTTTGGTGAATGTGTGTGTACTCACGTAATTTATGCAAATTAACTAAGCCGTCAAAATTATTAATTCTTGCTGCTGTTTCGTTTTGAAAAATTACATCAGTGTTTCACCAACACGGTGTCACCCTCAGCACCTGTCAAAACTGCTTTCATTATTATGTTTAACGTTAAAAAATTTTCCTTCCCTTTGGTTTTATTCTTTTAATTTCTTTTTCATCACAGAGACAGTGCCTATTGTTTTTAGGCATCTTTGATCTCAGATTCATTCTTAATCTTTAATTAATCACTTTGTTAATATTGGAAGCTTAATTCAAGAAATGTGATTCTCTTTTTTTCAAAATTTTGACCTTATTTTAAAATGTAGGAGTGGTCATAGTAAGGGAGTGCGTCCAAATATCGGTCGGGAACCTGATCATCGGAAACGGACCCGATTAATTTTTCAATGGTTCGGAATCGGTACCAGTCTGTAGGCAGCAGTATCCTCCTCTGTCCTGTGGCAACAAAAAGTTAAAGTACACAACATGGTAACAGCATTTGCATTTTGGTCGTGGATGTTCTGACTTCTTTCTCTTTTTTTATTTTTTCGCTTAAAGTCCTTAAACTGTTAATGCCTCCAAAGATCCCTATAATCATGCATTTTGGGTTAGCACGGGCCTAAGCTATTTTCAAATTATCATTTTGAGATCATACACATACATTGCGCCCTCTTTTACTCAAAAGATGCTCTTCAGCGTTGCTGAATAACCCACTGTTTCATCTCGTGCCAATTTTGATACACAAATTTAATCTTTTCTGTTCATACTCTGGCATAGGAAATGCAAACAAATGTTCATAAAATAATGTTATGTTAAACATCGTTGAAAAAACAAGACACATTTATAAGAAATGTAATGCTAAAAATAATAAGAAACACTTTGTCTGCTGGTCTACAACATATAAGTTGGAAAAAGGTGTTTGTGCATCGAAAAGTAGCCATTCTCTCTTTTGCTTTGTTAACATTTTAAGTGACGTGACCGGTGAGCTGCCAGATATTTTTGATGACTTTTGTTAATTGGCCCGATAAAGAAGAGACCTATTGCTGATTCCGTTTCATTCAGTGCCAATAATATCGGGTCCAACATTCAATGGAATCGGAAAAAATCGGTACTCAATAATTGATCGGCATCGGTGTGACCCGATGCCGATATTTGGATGCATTCCCTATTAAAATCCTTTCCTTGTTCAGACCCTTTGTACAATTTTTGGTACATGTTTGATGACATGGTCCTTTGAGAATTTGACAGAATTTAAGAAGTAGTTTACTGGTAGATTGCAAGATTATAGTTAATTTATCATGTCCTTTAAACCCAAACTGCTAAAAGAAACCCTCAAATGTTCATGTGGCAACATGCAAAATCATAACCAGGTCAGTTCATTAAGAAACTGCAAAAAAAAATGGGTGCCCGAAAATGTTAACTACTGTAAGGGGGTGTTTGCATGAGGAAACTTGCACCGGCACAAGTTTCATACCGGGATAACTTTTTGATTTTGTATCGTGTTTACATGATGATGGGTCATTTCATATCTTGCTTATTTGAAGGTACACTTCATGTTAATAAAACACAGGTGCAATTCAAGATCGCAAACATTACGCATGCGCTGTCTCAGTCCACCTGCAGACGAATTTCACACCCAAATGGTGGTCAATGTTTCGTGTTTACAAGATACTAGCGTGAAATTTCATACCGGTGTGAAATTCTCACTCTGGTACAACAACCATGCATGACATTTTGTGGTGGTATCATGTAAACAAATATAGAGCCATGAGAGGGAGACAGAGTGAACTCGCGCCGCCTTGAAAGTGGCCCGGTGTCACGTAAACACCCCCTAAGAGGTACAGTAAAAAGGAGTTCAAACCGTTATCAGCGCAGAGTTTAGAGCTAACTCGAAACAAGTTAGTACGTCCACTTTAGTTTCCTCAAAGACAAGTTGTAGTCTTAGGCCAAAAGATGGGCCTATAAAAAGAGGTCTTATTAGGTCAGGGAAGGCTAAAAAGCGGCAGTTTACATTATCACATTTTGTCATCATTATTTTTAGAGCTAAGCTTGTATGAGCTTCATCGCACACCTCAAGAGGCCATCACTGATGGAACAGAGATTTCCATTTCACCTCGCAGTCTCCACAGTGAACTTATGTGCCCAATTTGCTTAGACATGCTGAAGAACACAATGACAACCAAAGAGGTGGGTGTGCAAGTTTGTTCAAGTTTATGTTACATGCACTCTTAAATTAAAGTAGATCACTTTTCTGTTATGTTTTTTTCCACTGGGACTACACATGTACATACATAACATGTTCATTGTATATGTTTTTTTGAATGTCATAGTGTCTACACAGATTCTGTCAGGAGTGCATAATAACAGCATTGAGGAGTGGGTACGTGTATGAAGTCATGTTCCTAGACTAAGACAGTGTAGCTTCCTTCTTCCCTTCACAACCTGTCTGTCATCCCCTGTACATGTACATATGCAAATATGTACATAACCTTTTCCTAGTTTTAGCTCAAAGTTGCATGCAATATATATATATAGAAGATGTAACAATGCAGCATAATACCAACAGCAGATTTTTAAAATACTGGTTTCTTAAGAGATAATTGAACCTCCTCATGTAACCACAACACAACAAAATTGTCCCAGTTAAAACTGTATAGTTAAAACCTCTCATAAACTGGTAACCATCTCTTGAAAGCAACCATGATCACTTATTGGGGCAACACTTTTATAGTAATTTCCCTGTTTTTATTCCCATGTAAGCAACCACTTGACACGTGTATGCACTTCACCTACTCAGGGTATGCAGAGACCTTTTAGTGACAACAGTCATGTAAATACAATGCATGTTTAATAATGAACTAAAAGCACACATCAGTATATTGAGTACAGGGTAAATAAATCATGTTCATGTTACAGGTAGAGGGGGGAATTTCATGTATCCCATGATGCG